TAACTTAGAAAGATGTTTGTAGAATATTTTGAGGGGAAAAAACAAAAACAATAGACCATTTGTTATTAAACGGTTTTTAACACACATTACTAGTACATTTTTAAAGAAATGTACATTGGAATATATAGGAAAATTGAGCATAAAATGTTTAGACATTTAGAAAATGCCCAGTGGTTCCTAATACAACATTGAGTCATGTAAAGTAGCCTGCCCTGGTGTGAGTGATCACGGACTTGGAAATATAAACAAAAATGAGGAAACTAACAGGAACTAGGCAAGAAATTACTTCAAAAGGGCTAGGTTCCTAGAGAATCCAAATAAAATGAATATGTGGAACTCAAAATTAGAATCCAAAAATGTACTTTACATGATGACATACGAAATGTATAGAAAATAGTGGTATTTATGAAATAAAATGGCTATAGTTGAATAAGCAAGGGTGGGTAAAATTGTACTATACAACATTACTAAGAGAAAATAAGATTTCTATTAAAATAGAAATGGTGAGTTTGTGGAAATCTTGACACTAAAGAATCCCAGGAATAAAGGACCATCACTAATGGGAGAATAGAGTAGAAAGTATTTAATCCAAGCAGAAAGGTAAGTTTGGTTTTCCTGCTTGTGTGATTTAAATGACATACATTTCATCCTTGTGAATTTTGATTAGATTGTCAATGGGCAAATAGAGAAGAGAATAATAACATGGGAGAGATTGATGGAGAGAATCAGTATCTTCACAGAGCTGACTGAAAAAAGCAAATGTTTGTTTGGGTTGCAGCATATTAAACATTCTTAGAAAGTGGTGATTAATAAGTTAAAAAGAGCAATTTGAAAATATGTACAGTTTAAATTTCTCCCTCTCTTTTCCTCCCAAAACCTTCTTACAAAAGCAAAGCAACAATGGATTGTAGATTTCCAAAACAACATTATTGTAATATATTATTTTGAAAGCATTTGTATTTGACTGCATCTCTCTCTCTGCATCTCTGTCTCTCTGTCTGTCTCTGTCTCTGTCTCTGTCTCTCTCTCTCTCTCTCTCTCTCTCTAATCCAGGGAGGAAATGAAAAAAAAAAATTAGATATAAAAAAACTTTCCCTCTTTAATGTTCAAGGATTCTTAAATTTTAAGAAATATCAGTTTGCTTTCTCTAAGTAGGCTACGTTTAACTTTTCATCTTATTTTATGTATTACCAAAGTGTGTGGTTATGTGTGTATGTGTGTGTGTGTGTGTGTGTGTAAAATAATACTTTTGTATTTTATCACTACAGTAGAAAGGAGGAAGATCAAATATATACAAAAGTAAGCCTGATGTAGAGTTGAAAATTATAACAGTTTGTTTAAAGAACTTTTAAAAAGAACACTTTTAAAAAAGGAAATAGTGAAAAATCTAATACTCCTCCAATATTCTCCCAATGGATATTTGATTCAAATGGCATCAGTAACCCAGCATGTCTTCTGCAACTCAGGTAATATAAACTTTTTGGAACTGTTGATTCAATGTAGAACCAGTATAGTAGTACGAAGGGAAAAGAGCCTGTAGGAAGACATTCGGGAAAAAGAGAGAAGTGGTTTTCCCAGGTGCATCGAATAGAAGTGGATACAGATCGCTGATGATTTCACTCTGGAAGGACAAGAGTCTTTAGCGGGGTTTTAAAGAGCTCCCCTGTCCTTTGCAGTCTAATGGAAGAATTGGCTAACTATTTAGTCATCAAGAGGACTCAGAGGAGAAAAAGAAACTTCCTCATCTTTGGCTTCAAGTAAGGTGCTTTGAACTTTGTTTTGCTTGGGTAAGGTGATGGCACAGAATAGGTATCTTATCCCATCGACCAAAATCCTTAACTCTCTCCTCTTCGGCATCAGCATTTCTCCATCTGAAGGGGATGGGGGTGGGGTTTGTAATTCTGGGAATCTAAGACCCTGCAGACTAGCCCTTCTTCCAATATCTGTTCTCCCCACACCCACCCACATAACCCTCCTTGAAGCCATGTGTCCCTCTTGAAGCTACAGCTGCTGCAACAAGCATAGAGCAGCCGGGTTAGGAGTACTGGCTTTTTTTCTCCTTCCCAATAAGGTAGCAGGAGGGAGCTGTCCAGGGTACTCAAGAGCGCACTAGGCTAAAAGGCTATAGCCACGCAGCCGGCGGTGGTCCAGAGTAGGGTTCTCTTTCTCCTAGTGTCACAAGGTGGGGGGCGGGGAGAGGACGTTTTTCGGGTCTAGCTAATTAGCCCTCCGCCCTGGGCTCTAGCTCCTCCTCCCACTCCTCCCAGAGCCTGGGCTCGTGCCCGCCACTGCTAGTGCGCACGGCTCCTTTCCCCTCCTCCGCCTGCTATCTCCTCCTCTTCCTCCTCCTCCTCGTCCTTCTCCTCCTGCTCCTTCTCCTCCTCCTCCTCCACCTCCTCCTCTTTTCTACCTCCTCCTCCTTCTACCACCGCCACCACTACCACCACCACTGCCACCTCCTGCTGCTGCTGCTGTTGCCGCCGTCGCCGCCTCTGCTGCTGCCACTGTGGCTGCTGCTTCTCTCTCCTGCTTCTACCAACCCACTCTGAATCAGCTCCCTTTTCACGACTGCTATTGCTGCAGTCTCTGTCTCTCTTTCTCTCTCTCCTTAGCGCTCCAAGTTTCCTATCTCCAGCCTCCTTCTTTCAGGATCAGGGCAAAGGGAGGAAACATCAGGTCCTGTTTGCTGCTTCAGGTAGGGTCACAAGCGTTAGTTTTACCAGAGACCATTTCCCTTCGCCTCACGTGCATGTTTGATCTTGTTCCACCTCACCCCAACCCCACCCTACCTTTCTCTTCTGTACGGGAAAAGAGGGGCTCTAGCTTCATTTCCTTTTCGAATAGCCATCCTAATAATTATAAGAAAACAACAATAAAATTCACAACCACCACTACCTAGCAAGACATTCATCAAGCTCCTTTATATTCTTGAACTTTGTACACAGTGATTGCTTCTGGCTCTTTAGTATTTGAGCTGATATTCTTTCTCATATTGTAATCATCAGTTGCTGAACAGCTGTCAAACACGTTCGTCGTTTCGCAGCAGTCCAGCCGGCTGCTTTCTGAAACCTAGTCTCGAAACACCGCGAATGGATTATTTAGTTGGGGATGGGGGGTTGTTCCAACTGCAGTGCACTCTAACGAAACCAGGAATGATGGAACCAAGCTTTTGGTGGGCTTGTGCCCCCTTGCTTCCTTGCTATCGTTGCGGTGATTGTCTGGGTTGAGGGTGTTGTGGCATGAAACACACACTCTCTCTCCTCCTTTTTCTTCCCCCCTCCTCTTTCCTTCTGCAGCTCACATGTCACTTGGGTTCCCTGGAATTACATGTTTGCACAAAACAAGGTGTTCGCAAAATATGAGAATAGCATAAGTTGCTAGTGGAGTAAAGTCAGATTACTTGTTAATGGTGTTGAAAAAATGCACCACCTCCCTATCACTCCCTACTCTCTTCGTTGATTTTGTCACCATCCTCCTTAAATTCAGTGTTCCACAGAAATTAGCCTTTTAAATTAAATGGTTGGTGGAAAGTGAATGTAGTTCTAAGTGGATTTTGTTGTTTGTTTTCTTTTTTCATGGCTTTGCAAAGAACAGTTATGAAGAAAAAACTGTCAGACTTCACTATGCAGTTGGTCTTTCTTGTTTTCTTAGTGTGGGCACCAGCAAGGTGAGTTTTTTTAATCTAATTTTGTTATTTGAATTAAAAAGAAAGCTTGTTTTGAATATCAGCAATTTAGGGAAAAAACTATTGAGAAAAATGGCTATAACAATGTGGCTTGAAGTACTCTTATCTAATAGAAAAAAGGTATCCTTGTAATAACCTAGGGAGTTATCATGTAAATGTATCATGTAGTTAGATATCCTGCAAAGTTGCTAGTTATTCATCTTTTACAATAAGATACAATGGAGAGAATAAGTAGAGTTAAAAGGGGGAAATGCACTGAAAGAAAAATTGCCTGGGAAGTGTTTTCTCACCATAATATTAGGTTATAAGGTATTGGAGTAAATGTGTTATGTCTGTCACAATTCTGAAATTGTGATCATTGAAGTCAAATAGAAAGCCATAATTTAAAATAAAAATTTAATGAACTTGTATCAATGGTCAATACAGCAAACAAAAATGATATTTGATCTTAAACCTCTAGGTGGAGATAGCAGACAACTTCACATTCTTAAACAATAAAACAATAGCTTGATTTCCTAATCAACTTTTTCATCTTGTAAATTTGGAAACCATTTTCAAAATGACAAAATTATAGAAAAATAATTATTTTAAAATGTTTTTAATTTCCTATTGCCTACATTTCCCCAAAATATAATTATTTGTGACTGCCCTCTGTAACTTCATTTTAGATTTTATTTAAATAATTTTATACAAATATTAGCATGGCATCTTGACTTAAATGTCTTTAGAATGTTGTTTTCAAAATAATAGAAACTGTGATTCCATTTTGATAATAAAATTCCTACATACGCTTTGGATGTAACCATTCTATTTGCTAATTAAAAACAATCAAGATGTTCAATTTATATTTACAAATGTTTTTGACACTCTAAGTACACAATTTTATTAAAATATAGTAGTGTAAGTTCAAAATAAAGAAGACATTTCCAATACAAAGTATTTTACTTTTAAAATATGTTGAAAGAAAACTGATCTTTGAATTGGAAAATATCTACTACTTTGTTACGTAAAATATTGGCTCCAAAGGAAAAATTCCTAAATGTAAATTTAAAAGTATATGATTTTGGTGTAAAAAGGTTTTTGTGAAACTTCAGTCATATCTTAGTTATATGTTTTTAAATAAGTTAATTAACCACTGCAGAAACTTTCTAGGCTCTCAGAACCTGAAATAATTTACACACATAGTTTCCTGCATGTTTCTGAAGTATATACAGTTAAATGTTTTCTTTGTTCCTGTAACAATGTGCATGTGTTATTTATCAATTCTGTGAGTGTATTTTGGTGTATATGGTAGTTTTGGATGCTAATGTGAGTGTGTGTATGTGCATATGTAATGGTCATGCAATTTATATATGGATACTGTCATTTATTTGTATTTTTTCACATATAGTTTGCTTTCCTCAAATGGAATTAAAATAATCTTTTCCTTTGAAAATAATGAACAAATTGTAATCATAATGAAAATTTTGCTATTTAATCAAATATTTGCTTACTGTTCTTAACTTTATATTTGCACAGTGATAATAAAAACTAGATTTTACTACATTATATAAAACAATGCTCTTCAAGTCTTTGGGCAGTATTTAAATCTCCAAATCATGCACAGGAAAAAATTGCTTGAGAAGCAAATGTTCTTTTTTCACATCTATCTGATGTTCTGCATTAAAAAGCTAAGCTTTATAATCATGTCTCTTTGGATCTGAGAATACTTTTGATAGAAACGTTGGTGGTAAAAATCAAAGTCTTTACCACTTTCTGAAGAGAATGTAAACCCATTTCAATTTTTTTATATTACATATTCAGGAAATGGCTGGATAATTTAATCTCTGAAAAGGAAGTTATTACTGTTGTGGTAGACTGATTTATAGCTATTGCACCTTTAAGACTGTCTGCAGCTCTTTGGAAATGTGTTCACTGCTAATCTATTGTAGAGCCCACCCCCACAGTACTGACATCAGAGGACTCCCTGAGCATGATCAGTGGAGTTTCCTTCATATCTATATTGTATTTTATGTGGCCATTGGGTGGAGGCATATATAAAGGATGTAGTAGATGTAGTTTTGGGGATAAAAAAATATGTCAAGGAAAAAGGAAATATGTCAAACAATAGGATATAGAATTCTTACTCCTTAGCAGAGTTAATTCTGTTTCCCAATTCAAGATTCAAATCATGGAGTGATTATTTATGGCACATATATGTTTATTATCATTTTCTATCAGTGTAGCTAAATTTTACTATCTAATTAAATTATTATTACCAAATTGTCATATTTGAAAATATATTTTGAAGTAATATGTCAAATCTGAAAATATGACACTTTGGAAAATGGGAAGTTTGTAAAATATTAAACAGCAGAAATGTGAAAACTATTTTGATTTCAAGCTTTTGAAGAAGCCACTGTGTCATGTATCTCTTTTCAACAACACTGTATGCCTCTTCTCCACACTGTTTGTAAATACATTTGTATTTATAGTAGTGATAACAAAAAAGGTGGCACTAGTAACTTAGGTGGTAGAACTTAGTAAAACAGAGAAAGATAAACAGAGTGAGAACAGAGTGTTCACATTATATAAAAACAGATCTCTATCAGCTTGTAAATTATCTCTTTAGGTTGGTGCTGGCTGACCCTCAAGAAGATGAAGCTAAGAATAACATTACCATCTTTACAAGAATTCTAGACAGACTTCTTGATGGTTATGATAATCGTCTTAGACCAGGATTGGGAGGTAAAATAGTTTTATATTCTCTGAATTATGTTTAGTGCCCATAATAGTTAAATGATAATGTTAATTAATCATTTAATAAGTTCTTATTTATGGATAGTTGTATGCCTATTTCAGCACTGTAGGTAAAATGTGAAAAAAAAACACAATCTAATGATATATATCATATTTGTAATTTTCTATATGCTCACATGAAAAGGTCAATTAGCAAGCATTTATTAAGTGTCTATTACATGCCAGCCACTGTTTAATGCACCATTAATACAAATGAAATAAATTTTAAAAAAAGCATACTCAAGAGTAGCTTGCATTTGAAGTATGTGTTGCAAATAGATAGATAGATATACACACCTAAAACCAATGGAAGCATAAAACTTCCTTTGATTTATGAAGTCTGTCCAATTGATTTATTATGTCTGCCAGAAATGAGTTTTTTAAGAGTACATTGAAATCTCTTGTGAATTAAGTCAATATCCATATGTATCTACACAGTTTTACTAGTTTTATTTTACAGCTTTCTCAACAGAACATTTCCTTTGATAAAGTCCTAGAAAGTGGAATAGAAAATATAATACAAATATAATAAATCTTTTTAGTATCTTGAGATGATATTGCTTTAAATGTCATTTTGTTTTGTAATAAATGTCAATATGCATTTCTGTTCTTTGTAAACTTTTAAAGCCATTTAAAAACATAGTAGCTGATGCCTATGCCAATTTGGCAGAGACAGTGTGTGATTTCAATTAAAAAAAAAACTAATTTCCAACAAAGAAAAATAATCAACTTTAGTTATAAATTTAAAGGAAATTAGTCTTATTTAATGTGTTTACTTTAATTTTCCCTCAGAAAGGAGCTAGATAATAGTGAATAGTATGAGGAAAAATGTGGGCTGTCGCAAATTTCTAAATAGAGGTTTGAGTCAAGAAATTATGGTCCTCCATTATCACCTCTATTACATTTTTAGGCATGAAAATGTTCACATGCTATTCCAAATCACTTACACAATCACAGACACACAAAGAAATTTTTTTTTGATAATTCAAATTGAGAGAAAAAAAGTAGGTAACCTATTTATTCCTATAAAATTGATTATTTATCTTTTCTGAATGTAATATAAAATTATTTACCTTTTATAAGAGGTAATATAAAAACTTTAATTATTTAATAATCATAAAGTCTATCTTTACTACCTGCCAAATTGTTTACAGAAATAATTTCCAATAAACATTTGGATTGCTTCAATAAAAACAATTAAGAGATCCTCCTTTTTATATAGAGACTTGACCCTTAATTAGCAAATTAGCTATCCTTTAAATAGGTAGATTTGGGTTGAAGGACTGGAAGTGAGCATATTTTTATTTTAGAATGTTGGTATGTGTAGCAAGTAATGTCTACAAGAAAGACAATTTTCATTTATTTCTTAGCTAGAATCAAATCCCTGGAAACCAGATTTATTTTAAAAAATATTTTTCATGTAATTAACATGTCTTCAGTCCTGATGAAAATAAGAAAATAACTATTGTGTTGGCATATTGACAATCAACCACTGTCAAGCATTTATGAAGGGAAATTGTGCCAGGCACAAAAAACCATTTAGGATTAATAATATATTTTTGAAAGTAGGGTGTTTTCAAAAATTTTTCCCCTAATGTTATAGGGTTATATCTATTTATAAAATGGGTTATCTCTTTATGCTTTTAATAGTAACATATACTGAATGAATATAAATGTACATATAGTGTGGTCTACTGAAAAGATCATGGGATCAAAGGACTGATTCCCTTATCATTAAAAATGGATTCTACTATAAGACTGTCAATTCAAATACAAATATCTCTTGTATCTTTTCTCACTGCTGCTGTTTTAGTTCAAGCATTTAACACCTTGTGATTGAAAGACCTTTCAGGATTGTTTCTTCCTCTTTCAACATATCCTCACATGCAATAACTAAATATCAGGTTACTTCTTTGCTCCAAAAAAGTGACTTCTAAATTAATTTAAAATAAATTCTAAAGCTATTCAAAACTTTGTCATTCAAGGCTCTCCAGTATCTTTCTACAATCTTTCTTCCTGTTGCTCCTCTTAGCCAAACTTCTCATTCTTCCTTAGACATACTATGGGTGTTTCTGCTTCTGAAGCTTTGTTTATACTAATTCTTCCCCTGAAATTCAGGTTTTATTGCTTCCTCTTTGCTTAGCTAAATCTATATTTCCTTTTTTAAAGGACCCCCAACTGGTTTCCCCTCAATAGATTCAATTCAACAAGCATTTATTAATTCCCTAACAATAGTACTTAACACTTACATAGCACTTCAAGATTTGCAAAGCACTTTATAGATGTTGTAAACTCATTTAATCTTTACAAAAACTCTGAAAGGTTGGTTATATTATAATGCCCATTTTACATATGAAGAAAACTGAAACAAAACTTGTCCAGAGTCAGAGAGGTAATAAATGTCTAAGGCAGAATTTAAACTTGGGTATCCCTGACTAAAGTCTAGCACTATATCCACCATGCCATGAAGTTATGCAGCAGACACACTGCTAGGTTTTGAGGCTACACAGAAACATGAAATATTCCTTGATCTCAAGGAGCTTATATTTTTCTGGTTTGAGGAGAGGGGACAGGGATAGCATGTACAAAGATAAGTAAATGTAAACAAAGCAAGTACAAAGTCATTTACAGAAAGAAGAACACTAACAAGTGAGTTCTCATGTAGGGGATAGCTATTGAGCTGAGCTCTGAAGGGAATTTGGCATTACAAGAACAAAAGGTGAGGAAAGAAACCATTCTCCAATTGAGAGACAGCTTTCTGAAGGCTGATGTGCTTTGTATTAGGAAAAAAAACAACAAAGAAAGCCATTTAGTTGAATCTTATAGTTTATGAGGGAGGAATCAGTGAAACTTTCTGTGAAACCTTCCCCACCTGTATAACATAGGTTATAGTATTTTGAAATCAAAAGGAAAATGCACTTTCCCAAATGCCAGATATTATAATTTACTTCTTTAGTCTATAAGAGTTCATAGCCTAAAATTAGGCAGATTAAGTCAGATTGAAATGGAGGCAGTTGTTTATGTGGATTTAGTTTCAGAAGCTAATATTAAAGAAAACATAAGGCTTTTGACATACTGATTAGGGCAACTATGTTGATTCAATTATAGAATCATAGCATTTTAGATTAAGACAGGACCTTCAGAACATTTATCCCAACCTTTATATTTTATAAATGGGAAAACTGAGACTTGGAAATGTAAGGTTTTCCTTAATTCATAGATTCATAAATTCTATAATATACTGAAGACTTGTTCCCTGATACAGAAGCCTGGACTTTTGAGGACTAGTAAAGACAACCATATAGAACCACAGCACTGGTATTATTTCCCCTCTTGTCCACTTGTGTGGACTACTGTGCCTCCTTCCAGATTTATAAACTTGAATCTGGGTCCATAACTATGTGTTTTCTGGGAGATCAGCTAACTCTAAGAGGAGATTCGTGTGTCTGGACCAATCTGTGGATAAACTGAACTGGACAGCTGACCTTAATTGATCAGATTATAAAGGAAATCTACCACTGTTAAAATGTTTGCCTCAGACTAAGCTAATATACTTTAAGACTAGAGGTGAATCCAAAGTATACCCTATTTCAACTACAGCATCAGTGCTACATCCCTCCAACCCAAGGAATAAAGCTTTTTTATGGAGATAGTCTTTCTCCTACCCAGGACCAGAAGTCCTTATTTCTGATTCAGTGGCATGTTATCTCCATCATGGTTTACTAAGTTTCCCAGAAAATTACTTAAATCACAATTTAATATACCAAAATATCTAGTTTCCCTTAAAATGGTATTAAAATATTGAATCCTGATATGCCCTCTTTACTTTGAGGGCCTGAAAAGAATTGCCAACTAAGTCTTAGTCTTCTAGTTATGAAAAGCCAAATATTAGTACAGTAGAAATAGGACTACTTTTTTGGTATAGTGGAAGGCAAAACAAATTAAGGATTGGTATAACAAAGAAGCCCAACTGGAAATAACAAGCCATGTAACTTAGGACAAGCTGCTATGATGTAGTGTATGAAGGGTAGGCCTTGGATTCAAAAAGACCTGGCTTCATATACCACCTCTGACATTCCCAGCTCTGAACTCATTTAACTTTTCTGAGGCACTTTGTATGTTTTGAAGTTCTATATCTATGTTAATTTCTTTTTTCATAAAATTTAGGATAATACCACTTGATTTTTTTTATAACTCATGCACATATTCTGACAATCAAATAAACAGCTAACTTTAGTATGCCTGTAGTTGTATGAAATTGTTAGATTATTAGTTGAGCAAAGGGCTTAGGAAAACTCTTTGAAGTATGAGTTTAGTAACAGAAAGCTTCTTTGAAACTGCTGAGTCAGGAAATTATTGGTAGGTCTTTTGTGTTCAAATAGACTGCTTCATTGTGACCTTCTCAAATCATAGCTAGGTTTGCCTTGAGTATCTTATCTACCAAGACCAGTAGGTTCAGATTAGCCAAAACTAAGAGCCTCGATCAATTTTTTTTCCCCTTCTTGTCTTCATCTTGATCTTTTTAGCTTACACTTCACTGTTTTGCCCAGGGATTTTGCATTACATGCGAGACTTTTCAGTGATTTCTTCCTATGTTAACCAACTGGAAGAAAATGATTTCTTTTTTTTTCCCATTTCTTTCAGGGGTAATTGGGCATGAGTGGGATGATTACAGGATAATTAAAGTTTATTTTCACAAAGTTTGTGTTTGATAGTCCAATTGATTCATATTCTTTGTGATAATTTTCACTAGGTAAATATTAAAATTTAGGGATTAGTTTTGGAAAATCTACCCTAAGCACTATATTCACCTACAGGCATTAAAACACTGACCTAACAGGAAAGGTCTTATGTTGTCACTCCCACCCCCATCCCCACCTTGCTGATGGGCAGAATTTGGGGAAAAAACATCTTGTCCCCACCATAAAGGAAAGGAGTAAATAAATATT